CCCCCCCCATGTTTTATCTCCGGACTGTCGGGTGGGGGGGCTCGTTGCCCGGGTAACCGCTCTACTCTTCTCCACTCCCCCACTGTTCTATGCCTGGACACTGCCAGGGGTGGGAGGCTCGTTGTCCAGGCAACCATGCCCCCCCAACTCCTGGTCCTGCTTGGGGCGGGGGTGTCTTTTTGCCTGGGCAACTGGCTTGCTTCCCCTCCTACCCCCGCTTCCTGATCCTATTTCTGGTGGATGCCCGGAGTGGGCTGTGATCTCCGGCTAGGTGCGGGGGCTGTCCAAGGGGGGAGATTGGAGATTTCCTGCCCTTCCCCCCTTCTTCCCCCACATTTCCTGGCGTGTCCTGGGCCCCGCAGGAGATTCTCGTGTTCCCTTCCCTTCAGTTTTGCAGCGTGGATCCGTTCTTCAGCATCCTTGGATGCACCAACCAACCCTCTGCCTCCCCTACCAGCCCTCTGTCCTCAGCACTGGGGCAGTGCTGGCAGGGTACCTTGTGGCCATTGGGGGTGCTTTGAGATCCTCTCAGGGGTGCTACACCCTGTTAGCAGTGCGAGGTGATTCGCAAGGTCGATATCCAACAGAAATTTGAGGTCTGGTGTCTTTGAGTTCTTGGCGGCAGGAAGACTGCTCCTTATTTATTTTTGTAGGCTCAAAAGAGTGAAAACTCAGAGCTGGCACTTTGTGGGGTGCCACAGGGTCAAGGAGGCTCTGTGCGGGTCTGAAAACATTGGGAACTGCTGTGCTTTACTGAGGTATTGGCATCCTGGCAGCAGCACATGGAGGAGGTGGAGCTGCCCCCAGCGTAGGTGTAGAATGGAAGGCCTAGATCAGTGTTTTTCAACTCATGGGTCACAAGAATATATGAAAGGGTCATGAACAAACTTTTTAAAAATGGATTTTCCTTTAAAGGAGAAAAATGTGGGAAACCCTGTATTTTTTTCCTATGCAGGCTGGCAGATTTTCAGCTTGCAAGGGGCTTGTTGGGGGGCCCCCCCATGCCCCACATACTGAGGAGCTGGGGCCTGGGAGCAGCAGGCTGGGAGTGAGGGGTTCTGGGCTGGGACTGGCCATCAATGTCCTGGTACAAAAAAAGGTTGAGAACTGCTGACCTAGATCAGTGGTTCTCAGCCTCCTTAAATTCACGGTATCCCTTCGGAAACTGCCAGCGCTTAATTTTTGCTCATTTTTTGATTAGAGGAAACAGAACAATTCTTCTGGTGCAGAGGATTCAGAAAGAACACAACAGCTCAGACTGTATTTAACACCATGGATTCCTATTTGAAATCTCTGGTTTTATTCTGTGAAACATGATTGCATGCCTAACAGTGCTGACATTGCGTGAAAGGATCTCAAAGCACCCATTGACTTAGGGTAAGCCTCTTGGATGGTGTTTGCTTAGTTTAACCACAAAAAAAAAAATCATTGGCTACTGCAGTGAACACTGGAGATGCCCACTGGCATGGTCAGAGCCCTCTAGTTGAGCATTGGGAAATAGAATGGGCTGCTACTACTCAAGAGCTTGCATATAGAGTATTGGGGCATATGTTGAATGATGTGAATTTGTTAGTTGAACAAGCACCAAAGTCCATACATAGACATATATGTTGCATACAGATTGTTAGCAGTATTGCCAGATAATGTTTCACACTGGCCATGTGTAAACTTGTTATAGATCACTAAATCCTTTTTAATGGGACTACAGAAGAGCAAGTTAATAATTTTTTGAAAACTATGCAGCGCTTTTTCCACGTGTTCTAGATACAGTATTGTGTGTTTATGTAATACATATGTAACATGCACGGACTGTTTTAGCATGCTTGTTGCTTTAGGTTCCATGACACATCAGAAGCTCTAAAAGTATAATCTAAATTGTTGTAACCAGTATTGCCCTGGGCTATTTTGAAAAGTCTCTTGTTGGCTTACTTTCTACAGTGACCCTTAAGCGTGACAAGTGACTAATAGTACTTGTTTATGGTTTAAAAAACACAATAGTGTACTAGGTTGTATTAACAAAGGTGTCACTTGCAAGTCAGCGGAAGTGATTTTTCTACTCTGGCACTGGTGAGACTTAACTTGTGTACAGTTTTGGGCACTGCACTTCAAGCAACATAGAGATACATTTTAAAAGAATCCAGTAGAGAGCAACAAAAATTATTAGCAGTCTGGGAAATGTGATTTATGAGAAATAATTGGAAGAACTGAGATTTAGTGGAGAGAAGGGGGTGTTTTGTAACAGTCTTTTGATATTTAAAGGGTGGCTGTAAAGAGGATGGTTGACAAGTCTCTCTAGAGACAGGGCAAGAAGTAACGATCTTAAATTGCAGTAGGGGAAACTTAAACTGGATATTAGGAAGACCACTTTCTTACTATGACAGTGGTTAAGCATCAGAATAGATTATCTAGAAAAGTCGTGGAACCTCCACCCTTGCCAGTCTAACAGGAGGTTGGATGCTTGCTTGTTTGACATGGCTTAACGAAGAGAGCTTGTCTCTACTCCCAACTCCCTCCTCAGAGCTTCCCTCCTGCTTTGAGGAGGGAGTTGGGAGCAGAGAGAAGCTCTCACGGTCTATTCCAGCCCTATTTTTTCTGATTGTATGTATATGAAAGAGGGTCAGATGGACAGAAGCTGACAGGAGATGGTGACATAGCCTCAATAAGCACCAGGAATATGTTGTCCCTTGCTTTTGCTGATGGCGCTGAGGATTAGAAAAGGATTTTGAAACTGAGAGAAGAAATTCTTTCCTGACTTCTCCTGTGTTCTAGGTTTGTTGAGCTTCTTCTGTTGGAAATGTGTTACACTGCTGTCTCTGGCTCCAAAGCATGTGCTTTAAGCTTCCCTAGAACTCTCTGGTTTCTAGTAGGGGTGCACTGATAGAGATTTTCTTGGCTGATACCAATAGCTGATTATTAACCGGCCATATCAGCCAATACTGATCCAATAACTGACTTACAGGAATGCAGTTGGGTAGGGTGGAGAGCAGCTTCCTGCAGGTAAGTCTGTGCATGAAGGAGCATGAGGGGGAGAAGGCGCATGGTGGGGGCAGACTGAGGCCCTCATGGTGAGGGAGGGAGTGGGGCTGGAGGCGCTACCTAGCCAGGTCAGTGAATGGGACCCGGGGCAGGGAGCGGGACAGAGCCACTGGTGGCTTGTCCAGGGGATCAGTGTCCTGGCACTTAAAAATGGTGGCAGGGATGCTTGAGCTAAAGCTCGTCAAATGAGCTTTAGTTCAAGTACCACTGCTACCGTTTTTAAGCCCAGGGATGCTCTTAACTGGAGCCAAGCCAAGTGGGGCGAGGGCAGATGCAGGCTGCTTGCTGAGTGCAAGGGGGTCTCTGCCCTGCTGCTTTTGCCCCAGGGGCCCTGCGTCGGCCACACACCCTCTACCCACCCGGCGGTGGGGGGGTCCTATTCACTGCCCTGTCTGGGCAGTACTCCAAGCCCCTGCCCCATTCCTTCTGTCACTGTGAGGGCCTCAATCTGCCCTCCCACAAGCCCCTTCCCCTCTGCAGACTTACCTGCAGGGTGTTGGTCTCCAAACTGCCTGGCTGCATTCCTGGCCACTTGCATGTTTGCAGCGTGGCTTCTGGGGGCCCAGGCCAGAAGGCATATTATATTTATCAATGAATATTATTGGCTACACCGGTGAAAAAAAGTCAATAGCCAATAATGTTAATTTTCCTTTTATCAGTGCCGATTCATTATGTAACCCATATATTGGTGCACCTCCAAGAATCTAGTAACCATTCTGAGCCCTAGTCTATCTAAGGCTCTTCTAGAGATTAGGCCTTCTGTCTCATAAACATTCAGAGGAGGATTATCCTTGGGGTAGGCACCCTGTTTCCAGAGCTTATTGGGTTTACAGCTAAACCCAGAGGCTATCATGTGCCTCTGAAATGTCACATGCAGATGTTGCATAACATTCTAGCCCTAGTTGAGAATCACTGCTGTAGAGTGTTTAGGGTCCTTCTCTTGTAGCTGATGGCTGTCTGAATAATGGAATATCTCTCTGCTTCAAGTGAGTTTTATTTAATCTAGGTTGGCCCCACAGTTAAACAGGATCTCTTTGCTATAAAATTGTGCCTTTCTGTTTCTCTGACTTGCAGATAGCTTCCTTTGTCTGCAAAAGCCTGAACTTTTGTTCCTTCTATGATTCTGTATAATCCTCTTTTGTTACCCTTTTTTCCTACACATTTCAGACAAACGTAGTTGAACTAGCTTTTAAGTCCCAGCATCTTCCAGCACACCTCTTCAGGGTGTTTCCACTTGAATGGGAGTATTTTATGACCATCCATCATTCCCAGTATTGCTGATATGAGAGAGTCTCATTGCTGCTTGCTGTACAGGCGTTCTGTCATAGAACAATGTCAATGTATGATAGACCTTAAGTTTCTCTGTCTCTCTCACCTCCCCACCACCCCCACAATCAGTAAAGAAAAAGGAATTTATGTGCCTCTTATTAATGACTGAATCCTCTGTATTTTCTGTGCTCTCTTAACTTTAATGACCACAACATTTTGACTTGAGTACATAAGCAAGGGATAATGTAATCCCTCAGCATATAAACAAAGATGCAAGAATAGCCGTGAGAGTTTATCTCAGTGCATAGCATTGGTGAGACAAATGCTCTTGTTTGGTTCAGACTTAGAGCTCACTTTCTTTTAGTTTATTGAAATAGAAGAGTGACCTGATGATAACGTGTGCCTGAGGTTTTGGATTCTAAAAAACTTTTTTATCAAGTTGAGGACCTGACAAGGGCCAATGGCTAAAGGTTGAAGCTGGAGAAGTTTGGGTATCCATTTCAGACTGAATAGAATTATCCATTGGAGCAGGAACCAGTGGAAGTAATGAATTCTCCATGGTCTCTGTATTCTCCCTCTTCTGTGGTATTCAGATCAAGATCAAGACAGGGTGCCTTTCTGGAAAACATGCCATAATCAAATGCAAGCTTTTTTGGGCTCAGTGCAAAAGTAATGGGACAAAATGGAATGGCTTTTGGGTTGTCAATCAGATATGCATGAGAGGGACTAGAAATAACAAACATTGTTAAACCTTCTGGTTTAAGGATTATCACTGTGTAGATCATGAGAATAATGTTTTCATCGTGACTCAGTGTTACCTTCATACTCATTATGATATATTTACATATTGTAGGCAAATAGAAGCCCCTATTTTTGGCTTAACACTTGAGTATCATAGCTTGTCTAATGCAAAACAGCCACCTCTTAATGTTGTTGCTTTAGTTCTCCCCACACCTCTTTTCTGATGTCATGTTCCCCCTGCAGTGTAGGATTCGCTACCATGAAGTACCTGAAGTTAAGGGCGGGTTTGGTGTAGGCTCATGGGTCTGTAATCCCCAAGGGCCTGATTATAGGGTTGGTGTCTTAGAGTAAATTCTTTGGGTTGAGTCATGACCTCTGTTTTCATTCAGACTTCATGCATTGTGCACCTGTATTACAGCATGATTTTTATAGGGCAAATGTATGTGCTAATGTTTCACAAATGCTTGAGAAGACAGGCCTGTGCCCGAAAGGCTAGGAACAGATGGTGTATTTGTCCCAGGGCAAGTTGTGCCTCTGTCTGTCCTGGAATAGAAAAATCCTGGGATTGGTGCATGCACAGCACCCTTCTAATTGGGGGTTTAAGGGATGACTGAATGCAGTTTCCCTATTTTCTGCTATTGATTCAATTATGTATTCCTGGTATGACAATTCAGACATACTTTGTAGTGTCCTGGGATAAATGGTTAATACTTAACCTGTGAAGCTTTTAAAGATTTTTCCTAGGACAGTGGACACGAATGTCTGAATGATAGCATTTTTTTCCTGGGAGCTCATCCCTGGAGAAATGTGACATCAATTTGTAGCCAAAGAGCTTACAGTCTAAGGGGTCAGTCCTGCAAACATGCTGGCAAGATTAGCCACATATAATAGATTAGGTAGAATTTGGATTCAGAGTAGCCTAGATAAATTGGAGAAATCATCTGAAATTATCAAACGAAATTTAGTAAGTATAAGTCAAAAGGTATGCATTTAGGATGGACAATAACATGTACAAATACAGATTAGTGAACAATTGGTTAGGCTGCAGTACTGCTAAAAAGGACCTGAGGGTTGCAGTGGATCACAAGATGAAGGCGAGTCAAGTGCATTCTTGCTACAAAAAAGCCAATAGCATACTGAATTGTATTATCAAGATTGTATTTACAATCAAAGGAAGTGATTAGGCTGCTCTCTGGCACTGGTGAGGCCTCTCTTGGAGTACTGTGTCCAGTTTTGTACGCCACTCTTCGGGAAAAGTGTGGACTAATTAAAGAGTCTAGTGCAGAGCAACAACAGTGATTAGAGGTCTGGGAAACATACTTTATGAAAAACTTTGAAAAGTTGAGACTATTTGGTGTAGAGAAGACTGAAGGGAAATTTTGATAAATCTTCAAAACATATGAAGGGTGGTTATCAAGAGGACTTTTCTGTGGTCACAGGGATAGGATGAGTAGTAAGTTGTAAATTGCACCAAGAGAAATTAAGGCTGGAGAGAACTAACTCGCTCACTCTGCGGGTGGGTCAACAATTAAATGATTTATCTAGAGCAGTGGCTTTCAGCCTTCTTTCAGTTGCAGACCCCTAAAAATTTCTAATGCAGATGTGAATCTCTTTGAATTATAAGTGTGGGTGTTCACATACTTTTGATTGATCATAATCCACTTTTGCAGACCCCTTAGACATAGTCAGTGGACCCCCAGGGGTCCACAGACCACCGGTTGAAAACTACTGATCTAAAGAGATTGTGGACTCTCCATCCTTTGCAGTTTTGAGGAGCAGGTTGCACAGTCACTTGAATGAGATGGTTGAGACTGAGATGATCCTATCTTTAGCAAGGTGTGGGATCAGATGACCTCTTGGGGTCTCTTCCAGCCCTATATTTTTTGGGGGGGGGGGTGGAATATTTGTGGGCTTGGACATTAGACAAACAAGAAAGGGAAAATCCATGAGGGATATATTTTTCCCCGCTAAGGTCTGTATGCTGCCTCTACTTTTTCTTGCTTAGTAGGAATTAACTGCACAGAATATTGAAGTCAGGTGCTTTATTTCATAACCACTTGCTTTTCTTGTCTATCACCATTAGTTTTTAAGGTTGATTTAGTTGTTGCCTCTCACCTGGACCATCCTGTCTTCATGGATTTTATTTATTCTTAAATCTTTTCTGGGGACAAGGAAAGAGGGTGTTTTTCATTTTGTATAGTTTGTCTGAGATATTCTATTTATATTCATAAGCCTTAGCAGTTCTTGATCCTAAACAACTGTCTGTCTGTCTCAGTTATCGAGACAGAGGCTGAGGGGAAATAGTTGCTCTCTATAAAAACATGATGGTAAACAGGGAAGGAAGTGCTCTTTAAGGTAATGGAGAATGTTGGCATAATAACAAATGGCTAATTCTTATCCATGAATAAATTTGGGCAGGAAATTAGAAGAGGGTTTCTAACCATTGGATAGCAGTCTCTTAACCTTCCCATGGGAATAGTGGAGGCATAAAATCTAACTACTTTTAGAATGGAGTTCAGTACATTTATGAAGGGAATATATGCTATGATGTCCAGTTCCCTGCTCTTGCAGACTCTGACCCACATGGTCCCTTGTGTTGCTCAGGGGGAGTTTGAAGCTTTAAGTGCAATGGTGATTAGTAAAGTAGTTGCAGTCTTTTGTATTTGCATTTTCTAACAGTGTTCTTCTCTTCCAGATTCATGTACATATCATCCAGGTGTACCAGTCTTTCACGATGCTTTAAAGGTAAATGTGAAAGGATATAGATAATGGAAGGCTCTTTCAGGCCTTTGTTAGTGGTTTGCTGTAGAAACGTGAATATTTTTCAAGTCTGTTAATAATTAAAAGTGTATAACATGCCCTAACTGTGAGATTTCGCCAGAAATCCTGGGAATGGCTTTTATCCAAAAATTCAAAAGAAATGTAAGGGCCTGCAGCTGCTGCTGAAAATCGAGCCCCATCCACTAGCTTCTGCTTTGTATGTCCCCAAGCCCCGGTGATTAAGTGCAGTGGATGTCTTAATGGGGTCCCGAGTTTGTGCCTACACACAACTCTAAGGCTCTCTTACTTCTACTACCTGTTCTAAGTAATTCAAACAATGTCCAGTTCATTCAGATTTAATGCATGTGAAAGGGTGAACAGTTAGAGAATGGTTGGCCAGTCTACAACATGAGAGTCATAAGTGGTACAGGCAGCTTCTGTGTCTGGCTCACAGCAGATCATGAAGGAGATGGGGCAGAAAGCAGAGCAGGAAATCCGGTAGAGGAATGGGATTGAAGTGGCACTCGGGAAGGGCTCAGGACTAATTTTTTGCCATGCCTGCCAAAAAAGCTTGGCCCCCACTGAATTAGAGGATCTATGGACACCCTTCTGGAGTAGTACAAATAAAGCAGGTATTCCTTCTCTTACCTTTTTAGTGTAATTTAATTATGTTAGTCAAACTTATCTTTAATAACACATTAAAAATTCTGAATTCTCAGACTTATTACATGTTGTGTTAAGAACTGATTCATCAGTAGCTAAACTGCTAGTATAGCATTAGAAATTGATTGTGAGTTTTTATAACTTGGATGGATAACTGTCCAAAGCAAAGATGACATTGAACAAGAGAGAACTAATTTGATTTAAACAGAGCAGTTACAATCAGTAGTCAGGAAGACATTTCTATCTTCACTCTGAAAAATGGGGTCATTGTCCATTGTAGCAGCAGATGAGACCAACCTCTGAGATAATGGGTGACCAAAATAATGATATTTTTTGACTGTCCTCCTTAGTCTGCACTTTCAGTTGGTAAACTGTTTCTAAGCAATGATGGCTATAGGAATCCTATAACATAGAGATATTAACAATTGCTAAACGAAGGGAGAATATTTTGAACTTAAGGACATGCTTCCAAGGATTATCATTAACCTTCTGCTTCTACTGGATGAGATGTTCATGTCTATTTCATTATTTTTATTCAAAATTTTACAGGGTTGGTCATGCTGTAAAAGAAGAACAACAGATTTTTCTGATTTCTTGAGTATTGTGGTATGTACTGGCTTCTGACTTTTAAAATAATCATTGCAGGTGTGTAAGGAAACATGTTTTTATCTATCAGAAATAGATGTGAAGACATGCATAGTACCACCTAAGCAAGTTTTAAATGGAAAAACACTAACCCCACCCCCCAAAAAATACCCTTTTTGTAATCAGATCTTTCAAGGGCAAGCTTGTCTCGTGGACTATTCAGATGTGAAGTCTCAATTTCCAGGCTTCAAAAGTTTTTTGCTTAATGCTGTCAAAATATGGCTTGAATTACCATATTTTTCTTGCATATCATACACACTTTCTGCCCTCCTAGCCCCAAATCAAGTGTCTTAAGTGGGGGACCTGATTTTATTTTTCTTCACTAGATAAGTGTTGAATAACGTAATAGACAGTAAATAAGTAAGTTTTACAACTGCCCTTGCAACAATCAGAGGTCTGGCTTCGTTGCTTTCCTGCCACACCAGAAAATTTTTGCTGCTTTACTCAGGCCATTTCCTGGTATGCCACACTTCCTGGGCATGGGCACTCTTTCCAGAAGGACTTTTTGTCACACAGTTGGCCCTGACTGGAAAAATCTTGCTTTTCTACATTCTGCCTTTAAAAAAACAAGATGTATTTTTTATTGGGGCTGTGTAGTAGGTAAGAAAATACCATAATATAATGAAGGGTAGTGATAAGGATCCCCTTCCAGGCCTTGGCCTAAAACAAAAGTGGCACAACACACACTATTCTAGAAAGTGAGGTAAGGTAGAGGATGAGGGTCAAAATGTGTTGATTCATAGCTTATTTTTGGACTGTGCATGAAAAGTTGTATTTATTTCCATATTAAAACACATTCTGGGGTGTTTTTTTTTTTTTTCTTCAATGACAGGGGTGTACAAAGGGTTTCCATAATAGTGAGAAACCCCCTGAACCTGTTAAACCTGAAGTCAAAACTACCTCTGAACGAAAGGAATTAGCTGAACTGAAACCTAAATTTCAGGAGCACATAATTCAGGCACCAAAGCCAGTGGAAACAATTAAGCGGCCAAGGTACAGTACATGGGGGAAAAAAAAGCATTTGTACCAGGTTTGTTTTCATTTGAAGGAGACGGGGTATTACAACTTGTGCTGATTTATTGCTGCTATCAATTTGTGTAAAAGTTACTTGGGTATTGCAAAAGTATAAAATCTTTAGATACATTTTTAGGTTTCGTCTATATTGCAGATGCTGTAGAAATATCCAGGCTATTTTAAAACTAACTTGCACAAGATGTCTTGATAGAATTTCTGGCAACAGTATTGCAGTTGTCTGTAACTTCTATCTGAACTGACCTCAAATATGAATGGTAAAGAAGCTCAGTTAATAACTCTTCTGCAGAAATTTGATTCACACAAAATACTTCAACATTGTCATTATACAGGCAAGTGCTAGCGTAGAATCTTGTAACAATAGTGTAGCACTGCTAGCAAAGCCATACTGACATAGCTATACAAAACTATACAATTTCTTTTTGCCAGTCTCACATTTGTACTTCTAGATATCTTAAACTTAATTGCAAATTGAACATCTTAGGCCATTATAATTTGGAACTAATATTTTGCCACAAGAAATAAAGCTGCTTTACCACATCATGTGATAAGACCCTAATCTAAATTGCCCTTAAACTTTTGGCTCCTTCTCCTGTGAACCATAGATTCCAAAATCCTTGTGAGATCATGTATGGCATTTTCATACTTGGTTTTCTCCTGTTCTTTTCTGATATTATATACATTGCCTTTAGATGAGGCAATCGTTTCATGCTCTTTATTTCATTACTTTTGGTTTTTTAGGGCTTCTAGGAGCCCTAGTCAAGGACCAGGAGCCCCTGTTCTAGACAGTATCCAATCACAGAACAGTGGCCCAGAGAGCATGTTGACTAGGAGACTTTACTAAAAGCAGGTTCAGTGAACCATAAGGTATGGAAGCCAGTTTGGAGAGTTTTTTTAGAATAACTTTAGGACATTCAGTATGTATAAAGATAACCAAGAGTCAGAGAATAGTTTACCATTCAGCTATGAGCAAGAGACATCAGCTACATACAGATGGGTAAAAGGAAACAATGAGAAAATGTTTTGCAACTTGAGCAGTGGTCTTCGCCTAATTTTGGCATAAGTTTTTCATAGGTGAGAGAGATTCAAGGAGACTAATGAAATATTTTTGCAGAGGTTTACACAAAGCTTCAGTTAAGTGAGGAGTATCATATGGAGAAAGCACAGAGTAGCTTGCTTGACATTTTAACAGGTGGCAGTAGAGCTGGTATTGTGGAACTGTTGTGGGGGTGGAGGGTTAACATTTGAATAGTGAATGAGAGAAGTTGGTGAATAGGGTGAGGATGTTGTTAGAATGACCATAAAAGTGAAGACAAGTCATTTTATTTCATGTTTTCATAGATGTTAGGGTCAGAAGGGACCTATTAGATCATCGATTCCAAGCCCCTGCCCATGGCAGAAAAGAGTGCTGGGGTCAGATGACCCCAGCCACGTGTTTAACCAATCTCCTTTTAAATACCTCCAAGGAAGAGGACAGCACCACCTCCCTTGGAAGCATATTCCATATTTTGGCAACCCTCACAGTAAACATTTTTTTCCTGATGTCCAGTCTGAATTTGCTCTCTTTCAGTTTGTGGCCATTATTTTTATCTACCCCGACGGGCGCCCTGGTAAACATCGTATCCCCTGTTTCTTGCTGATCACCTCTCAGCTGCCTCTTGCAGAGGCTGAAGAGGTTCAGGTCTTCCCGTCAGTCCACATAAGAGTGTTTTCTGTACGCCTTTAACAATATGAGTAGCCCTCCTCTGAAGCCTTTCCAGGCCATCCACATCCCTCCTGAAGTGTGGTGCCCAAAACTGGAATCAATACTCCAGCTGCAGCCTGACCAATGCTGCATAGATTTTATTTATTTATTTTTTTGTTTTGTTTTTCATCAACGTCCCCCTGGAAGCACACAACATCATACCCCATTACTCGTCACTGGTGCCACAACCCTTCTGCAGCAGAATTCCTCCCCAAATGGCGTGGCCCCGGGCTAGTGCTAGAGCCCAGCTGTTGTTGCTGCCTCCTCTCTTGCACAGCTGGAGTGCTGCAGGCAAAGCCCCCTGATGCTGAAACCCTCATTCCACAGGCTGGATCCAGTGGCTCTATGGGCCAGATCCAGCCTGCAGGCCTTAGACTGCAGACCACTGAACTAGAGTTAGGTCTGTGAGTGGTTACACAGAGGTGGTAGTTGAATTTGTATTTGCAGATAATTTTACCCAGAGATAAGATGTAGAGCAGTAGTAGGCAACCCCTGGCACAGGTGCCAGAGCATGACATGCAAAGGAATTTTGCTTGGCGCATGCACCTTGGGGCAGACAGTGGGGAAGGGGCTGAAGTTGTACTGCCACAGTAAGGATTGGGCCCCTCAACTCCCCTACCATCCACCCCTGGCACACTACCATCTTACAAGTCAAGGTTACAGGTGCTTTTGGCACTTTGCCCAAAAACGTTGCTGACCCCTGATGTAGAGGGAGAAGAGAAGAGGGGAAAATTGCAATAAGAGGGATGAGGAGACTTTTGAAAGAGTGATTGTTGTCTCCTTGACTTCCTATTTCTCAATTCATGTAAGGCAAGAAAAGACACTTTCAAGGAGATTGTGCGCCTCTGGGTTGAAGGCATGAATGATGAGGATGAAGTGCTGGTTTATATTACATGAGATAATTGCTGCAATGATAAATGGTACAAGGAGAGGTCCCCTTATTTAGGGTTGTATGGGTTTTGTCCTGTTTATTCAGCCTGGCAAACTCTTGAGCCCCTGTGGCTGTGAGTACTGCTGTTACCTTTCCCATTTAGTGTACCCTCGACAGGAATGTAGTTAACTACTGTACTCTTGAGTTCTTCAGTGGCCCCAACACAACCCACAGGCAATGTTAAGGTCTGCATTAGGAAGTTATACTTTTCTAGAGGAACTGCGTGTTACATCAGGCAATCCATTACCATGACTGACAGGGGTGGCTGCACTGTCTTTTAAAGGAAAAAACACCATTGTAATCACTTGAGCAATAACCTGCCTGTGGGTGGCATTTCTTTTGATTTCTAATGAGATGATGGTTGGCATATAGCATAAACGGAAGACATGAAATACATAACTTCACATGGCTTTCCCATTGATACCCAGGTGTGAAAGCCTAGTGTTCCTCAGAGCAATTTCATCCCTACTTTTTGTCTAATATACCTGTGGGTTGTTTTTTATCTACCATAAAGGTGGATTATATACAATTGTGCAATTGGTTGTGGTCCTGTTATATCAGTGGTTCTCCACTTCTGTGGAGGGGTGCCCTGACTCTGAAACTTGTTTGGAAAGTGGCAGCATCCCTGATTGAGAACCACTGTTGTGTTCAACTTACCTTGGTGTAAGGATGTAAATATTGTTAAAAAAATTATCCATGTAACCGATAGCCAAGCAGTTTAGACATTGCTGCTGCTGCTTCTGCTGGGAGCCACTCCCTGGGGCCTTTGACAGGGTAGGGAGGAGGCCCTGGCAAGCCTTGCAAGACAACACAGCCCACATAAACCAGAGGCATGCAGAGGCATTCCCAGCCCCCTTGCTGGGAGGGAGGGGGCACCTGTGAATAAGCAGCTAATTGCTTGACAGAGTTGATTAATTAAAACATCAATTAATTCAATATTAATTAAATGATACAGCATTAGCATTAATTACCTAAACATTACTTGGTTAGAGCATTAATTGATTAAAATATTAATTAATTACTTCAAGCAGAGTCATTAGGTTTTCCTCTGTTTTCCTCTTTAACTTATAGGCTATGGGACTAGTCCTGACTAGTCCCCCCACACCCCTACCTCTCCTATCCTCCTCGCTCCTACCTCCTTGCCTCCCTTCCTTTCTGCTGCCTCTCCTGCTGCCTTCTTGTTCCTGAGGCAAAATCACTTTCCTTCCCCTCCAGACCGTACCCTGTGCTAAATGTTAACTGGTAACGTATTACCGATATAGATATAATTGTCATTTAAATGTTTAAACTTTTACATCCCTATGTCAGTGTTTCTCTGCGAGGTGCTACACAGTCAAACCAGGGAGAGAGCTGTGGCATATTTGGTTTTCCTGCATTACCATTCTCTGATCGGTGTAAAGTAGGCAGGAGAGGCTGTTTGTGCTGCAGCCCCGGACCACACTGCACAGGTGGAACTGTCCCATGCACTTCTGTTTCTGAGAATGAGGAGTGGAGATGCTGGGCCAGGGAAAGTTGCAGCCCAAGCCAGCTTTCCTGCTTATTTTAGGCTAATTGGAGAATCCTAATGCAGGAGGAGTATGCACATGCTGCAACCCTGCCCATAGGCAGGGCAGTTTTACCTGGCTATTGTCACAGTGACACCTGTGTTGTGACATCCTAGTTGAGAATCCCTATATTAAATTCTCTGATTTTAAACTGATATGCTGTAAACTGAAATCTGAGGAGAATACTCTTCTACACTGTACAAGGCTTAATGTAATTTTATCTTTCTTCCATCATTTATTTTTAACCAAGACAATATGAATGCATTCAATTTTTTTTTCCAGCCCAGATGAACCAATGACAAACTTACAGCTGAAAGTATCAGCTTCCCTGAAACAGGCGCTAGATAAACTGAAACTGTCATCAGAGAATGACGAAAAAAAAAAAGGTAAAACAGCCTAACAAAGCTCAATGGGATGCCAGAATACATTTACTTAAGTGATGGATTGTCTCTAGCTCAAAGGTTACAAAACTAAATGCGGAATCCCATACCCCAGATTCTGAACTTAGACATGAAACATGAATGTATGGTAAGTTTTGGCTAATTTCAAGGGCCAAGCTGCAGAAGTTCCTAGGCCAGGCTGCAGAAGTGTAGTGAAGCAAAGGACCCCAAAGCCTGTTTCTGAGTGACCACAGGAATAACTTTGACCCATGTGACAGCCAGCTTGGTTAGCAGTCAGTGTCTGTAATCAATATGTCCAGTTAAACCAGTAATGAGATTCAATTAAAGTGAATGCAAGATATGAAAGGAGACATTAAAAAGGGAAGACTATATTAAATAATCAAAATATACTATATCATAGCTTTACCTTAAAATGTTAGTAATGGATGTACCTAAATGTGCTAGATACTATTTTTTTTTGTAATAGTTATTTTTGTTAAGTTTCTAGATAAGTTGTAAACATAAATAAAAAAGCAGTCTGTGTTTATGGAAGACCATCAGTTTTGGAGAGGAGAAAAGCAGGATGGCGGCAAGCAGTATTCCATATTGGTAAAGGAAAAATAAATACCAAGAAAGAAATGCGTTTCAGATTGGTTCCAGTGTCTGATACCACCTCCTAGCACACAGTGTTCTTTTGCTGAAAGTCATTTCCTGATCTTCTCTCCTGTTTACAGCACATGGAGAAAGCAGTTTTGTATGCATTTTTTTTATGGATTTCTGTATAGCACACCAAAAATGGGAGCCATTTTTTTCACTTCCTAGTTCTTTTTGGAAGGGTCTGTCAGATACTAGCCTTTATTTTTACTTGAATTCAAGAGAACTCAGCACCTGAGAAATTTACTGTAGCTCTGTTTTTATTTATATCACGTTTTCACAGAAGAGGACAGTGATGAAATCAAGATTGGGACTGCATGTAAAAATGGAGGCTGCTCAAAGGTTAGTTTTACTTACTCTAAGTACATGAACTGAATTCTGAATAAATGAACTGTTCAGGATTTTGAAGTTCATTTAAAAAAAAAAAAAAAACCTCCCAAGCAATTCCAAGATGGCACAAAGTTCATAAATAAATAGGCACCTTGCAACATGGTTTTAAGGCCAGAAAATGTAAGATGCTCTTCTTTGTCAGTACAGTAAACTCAAGATCAAGGGCCACTGTTGAGTCCAAAACTAACAATTTTAGGGCATGTCTCTACTGTTTATGCAGGGTTCCTGAGAGTGCCATTAAGAAGCATGCCCTGCTCCCACTTATGTCCCAACCTGGAATAAGGCAGTGAAACTACCCTGCTACTCTCAAGCACACCAGAAACAGATCACAATAGCAGCAGCAGCAGGTGACTTCAGCATGGCTTTGCCATCTCATTTCCAGGTTTGCGACCTGCACAGCAGGAACAGGTGGGCAGGATGTGCTTCTTGATGTGATCAGGAGCACTGTAGAAGCTGTTCATAAATGCATATTGGGACTCGCAGTTTGAACAGCTTTAATAACTCCAACTGTTGGACTAAAGTATGAATAATGGGAGGGCCTCCAACTATTTCTCAGACTATTTATAAGCACTTTGCATTACTTTTGGCCACTAATGAAGATCTGTTGAATCTATGAAACATGCACCGGTCTCTTTCTTACTGAAAGAACCACTAAGCAAGTAATCAAATACATGTTAGGATTGTAATTGATTACAAAACTTTTTTCTTCATTGATTATCAACCAAACTGGCTCTCTCTTTCTCTGATAACCTTGTATTGAACAGAGGGGAATGTTTGAGTAGAAATAAATGGTGTACTTGAGTGTCAACAGCTTTTGTTCTTTGCTTCTGATGCTCTGGTGAAAGCAAAGGTAGCAGCACATTTCACTAGATTATTGTAGCCTTGTTAGGTGAGTTAAGAACCCCCAAAGTTACCAGTAAATTTTTGCTATTGTGCATCTAAGGCATTGACCTATGTATGTGTGACCATCTTAAACTTGCAGCTTTCAAGTTGTTTGTAGTTATTCATTCACCTATAGTTATTTAAATACAAAATTGAAGAGTTCTAGATTGCTTTGTAAGAAGGGCCAGATCAGCCATTATGTACAGTAATATTGATAGCCTCCAGATCATGTTGGTAGACTATTTGAAGAATGGCTTTTAAGCATGAATTTCAGGTGAACATTGCATGAAAATCTTTAGTTGAGCTTTTTCTGCCTCTTGTAAAATGACCATTCTTGGTTTACTTCAGAAATAGTTGATTACGTAGCCAGTATACCAGGGATATTAAATGAACTTAGTCTGCTTTGCTAATTAAATGCTTGTTAAAGCTTAGTATTTGAAAAAAGTAATCTTTTAAAAAATATATTATATTTCATCAGAGATTTGAAGGACCACAGAGCACAGAAGAGATATGTATATACCATTCTGGTGTACCTATATTTCACGAAGGGTAAGTATTATGTGATTAATAAAGTTTTTCCTTAAATCATAGGCAGCTGCTCTTCCTAGTTGCATTCTGTAGCAGATACTAAAGTAGCTTTTCAAGTTTATTGAGGTATCAAAAAGAATGACTTTGTTTTTAAAATTGTTTATAGTAGTAAGATTATAAATACTTGGTTTGTTTGTTTTTTTTTTTCTCTTTAAACTGACAGGATGAAGTACTGGAGCTGCTGTAAGCGAAAAACTTCTGATTTTAATACATTTTTGTCTCAAGAAGGATGCACAACAGGAACACATGTATGGACTAAAAAAGATGCTGTAAGTAGCACTAGCTTTGCCCCAGGCAGTTGTCTGTCTTGAACTATCTGGATATTAAAAAAGAACTTCTGCTTTGACTAAATTTGAGATTTAGTTGAGCAAAAACACATTTCTATACTTCCAAAATAATGGAATCTTGATTGATGCTTTCAAGAGTTTTATGAGCACTCTGTTTAATACCAAAATGGAGCTTGAAGTAATCTTTGAATATACTGATGGACTTTTTTTTTTCTTCTTGCGTACACGCACACAAAAGGCCCTTGCAAATGGAGGATGGGGATTGTCATATTTACTTGAAAGTAATTCGATTGTGAATATAAGATGTTCCCCCAGTAATTAGATTCTATATCTGAAAACTTATAAATTTGTTATAATTTTCCAGGTATAGAATCTAATTATTGGAGCTTTGTCTGATTTGTCCCCCTCCTACTGCTACAGCAGGGAAAATAAATCTGGGGTCAAGTAGCCCTCTTACTCTCTGTCCTCCCCAGCTTCTTCCCCCAACAGCCCCTTCTTCCCCTCTTTACTGTCAGACCCTACTCACCCTGTGCACATGGAAGTGAGGGGCAAATCTGACCTTTAAAATAAACATAACTGTAATAATTCACATATAGGCAATTTACTACAGGTACCCATAGACTTAGCAAAAGATATCACTTCTGGATGAGCTGATCTTGAAACTGCTGCAAGTTTTAGCACAGGTACTCCATAAACACACTCCTAAGCAGAACTTTTGTAGCTACTTCTATATAGTGCTAAATGGGCATGATATTGGCCTAAAGCCAAAAAGTTCATGATTTACCATATACCTCATTGAACTGGGCCCCAGTAGAGTCAACAGTGTTTCAAGTCATGGTGACCCCACAGCTCAACACTGCTCAGTGTGTGTGTCTCTGTGTCTGTGTGTGTCTCTGTGTCTCTGCTTATTAGGCCCCGACTCATGACAAGAAAGCCTGGTTTCAGTCATGAGTCCTGGGATCCTCCAAAAATGTATATGCAGGTGAGTTGCACAGCAACCTTGTCCAACTCCACCTCATGGAGGGCAAGGCCACACTAATCATGTGCTGAGAGAGGGGGCAAGGAATTTTGGGTGAACTCAAATGGGGCCCCAAGTATGTTTCCCAGACACTTAAGACTGGTGAAGAAACAAGTAACTGGAAATGGGAAAAGGGTGTAGCTCGGCTGGGGGAGTGAACAGGAAGTCGAAATGTATTCAGTGTAGTGACTCACCATGACTGCAGTTGGCACTACTATGTATTTTATTTAGATGGACTGCACTAACTTACCCTTGTGACAGGTTCGCATTGGCATGTCTGCCTAATATGGGCCACGTTTTATAGTCATGCTTGGTGTTGGCTGCATTTAAATCAACCTCGTAGTCATGGAGAACAGGAACAGGAAGTCAAAATGTATTCAGTGTAGTGACTCACCATGACTGCAGTTGGCACTACTATGTATTTTATTTAGATGGACTGCACTAACTTACCCTTGTGACAGGTTCGCATTGGCATGTCTGCCTAATATGGGCCACGTTTTATAGTCATGCTTGGTGTTGGCTGCATTTAAATCAACCTCGTAGTCATGGAGAACAACTGAGCACATGCTGGTTTTGGCAGCAGTTTAATGATGGACAGTGTATTTAATGAGGTTTCCTCATACGCAAATATAAAATGAGGGGCTTCCCCCCCCCACCTCCTGGGGGTGGTGGGGGGGGGATTGTATTAGTAAATACAGTATACATTTTTAGATGATAGAATTAAAAGTCTGGCACTTAAGTGTCTTATATATACTTCAAAAAAGACAATCTTGAAAAGCAGATTTTGTAATCCTTTTTATTAGAAGAGGTCTGTGGAATTTTGAAATTAGGAATGTAATTCATCTAAGTGCATAAGACTAAATGCTCTTACTTCAAAGTCTCTTCCTTAGTCGGTGAGTTGTATGACAGAGTAAAAGTTCTAGGTGTTGGGCTGACAGATAATTTTCTTATTTAGACCAGTTTCCATTCAAGTATATCCACTTTCTTGCACTGAAATTTAGTGGATTATTTGCATGGATTATTGATTCACTTATAGATCAGTTCTATAGCAGAGCTGGGAGCAAGATTTTAAAAAGCTAATATGTGCTTGTATTTTCACTCACTGTATTTCGGTTCCTATTTAGAGGCTTTCTAAAAAGTTAACCTAAAGGTGAGTGTTTTACTGATGCAGAGCAAGAAAACAAGCACTTGCCGTTTAAAAAATTTTAGCTGATCACATCCTGTCTTTGGACATGTCTCACTTCCATTGTTGACATCTCAGTTCCTGACTTGTCTAATAAATTCCAGCCAGTAAACATTGTAGTAAAAACATTTAAAGAAAAAGAAGGTTACAAGAGAGAAGTTGCAGCTGAGGTCACTTCTCACTGTCCCCCCTTCTCACCAAATCTCCGACTCTCCTGAAACAAGGAACCTGTGCTAGTTCTTCAGCTTGTTTGTAACTCCGTTTCTCAGGTTTTCTCCTTACAAGAAAGAACAAAAAGAGCTAAATCCTTCTTTAAAAGAAATAAAATTTATCAAAAAATAAATCTCTGCTATTTCAGCAACTAAATGCATACTTTTAGCCAGTGAGTGTGGGTGACAGGCTCCACCAGAATAGAGAGAAAGCCTGTCCTTCTGGCCCTGTAGGCCAGGTGAGTGGCATGGGGTTGGTCTGTGTAGGGTAGGTGCTTGGGGTTAGTCAGTCTGGCCTGATCTAGCCGTGCACTGCTCTGCTTCTTCACACAGGGCTACGTTATCTGGCCCATGGGGCTCCCCACAGGTCTGGAAATCTGGCAGCACAGGAATGACAATTAACGCTGTCGCTGCTCCCCTGCTGCCAAACTTCTGGACTGTTGTGGAGCTCCACAGGTCAAATCTGGACCACAGGGGTTGAGCGCCACTGCTCTATTCAAAACGTTAGGGCCCAAATGCAAACCAGGTTCACTTCCCATACAACTGTCTCTCTTACATTCAGTTATGCCTTGGTAACTTTTTTGAGAGTCTATTTTCAGTTGCTTCTCCAAACAAGTTAATAAAATGCCAGGCTTAGGGCTCCCATTCTCTGTTCAGTAGCAGCTTCTGCTGCTTTTCATCTCAGACCAGTGGGTTGATTTAATCTCTCTCCTCCACCCTGGGCACCTGTGTTTTTAACGCCTGCTTTTCCTTCTTTGTTCTCTGTACTTTTCCTACAAGAGGGCACTTGTAGTGCAGTGTCTGACCTCTCTTCTGTATTATTATGAAGACTTCCTGAGGTACCATTGGCCTGTTTCAGGTGCCCTTTTACTCGCTACTAACTGTTATAATCCCTCTACCCATTTATGTTTTGACTTTCTTTTGTGAAAGTAGCACTCCAATGCCCCATTTATAGCTTGCTCTAGTTCATAAACATGGCTGTTCTCCATTCCAGATTCTTTTCAGTAACCATGAAAGAAGATAAGAACCTAAATAAAACTTTGATCTTCTCACCATCAGTAAGATGTCTTCATTGTGCATTTAGTTTCAAGCAGAATTAAGCCCTGTATTGGTTATAGTATTTTTGTGGTAGTTTTTGGAACTGTATTCTTTAAAAAATATATATATATAATTTTTTTTTTTTTTTTTTTTTTTTTTTTTACATTTTTTTTTTGGGAA